CAATTGACAATAACACCTCCTCCCCTTTAGCATAAATAATAGAAATGATAAAAGTAAATAAAACAAATAATTAACTTCTGAGTCGATTAAAACAATAACTTAATATTTTTTTGCAAAGTCTTATGATATTCACCTTTATTTTAAAATATTCTTCAAAAGTTTTAAATCAAAGGTTGAGTTGGAAAAAAAAATAATTATGGGAAAAAAAATTATAATAGTTCAAAAATACTAATTTTCAAATTTTTGTTTTTTAAATGATGAGTAAAATGTTATAGAAGTCATTTCTTATTATATAGAGGATAATCGTAGGGATTCCAAATTGTTATATATAATTTTTTTTCAAAATTTTGATTTTTTTTTTAAATAATCAATAATAAACAGAAATAAATACAAAATATATCTGATAACTATATTAGGTAACAACCAAATTCCATCTGTATTATATTTTAAAAATTTGTAACTGATATTTTTACAAAAAGTAAAATTTTCGTTTTTGTCTTGAATATTTTTTTTTAAATGGTTATACTACAATGATTTTTTCTAAAAGTATAAAAATCAGAAAATAATCTATAGAAATATTGAATGCATAGTTTTACTGAAATATTTTTCAATCATAAACAAATAGCTTCATGCGCCGAGTGAAGTATCTATAAAACATTTTATTTAACATGATTTATTATATTTAAAAATAAATAGTTTACTTGATTTTATATGTATGCTAATAGTATTATGATGACTACTAATATGATTTTGTATTAGTATTGCAATTACAAATATCTAATATGATTATAAGATTTTAATATGAATTTTCATCTTGTTTTTTTAATATGAATGTAATTTTATAGTTAATATTTTAACTGAAAAATTGATATATCTTATTAAATAAAACATTTAGTGAATATTTTTTTTGTTTTTCAAAATTCAAATTATCGCATATGCATAAGATATAAATTTATTATATGTTTGATGTGATAATTGATTCAATAAAAGTGAACAAAGAGAATAAAAAAATATAATGATTTAAATTATTTTATATTATATTATTAAAATCTCAAAAAAAATTTCTGTTTGATTGACTAATAAATGTATTTTGAAATTATTTACTAATTTTCGTTTGTTTAATTATGGAAAGAAAGATATTTTTTTGAACCATTACTTTTAATGATTAGTTTAATAAGATATATTTGATTCTCTAACCAAATTAATATGAGTGGCATTGATTGTAATTATTCTAGTAACATAAGCTTTTTTCATAAAATTCTTGAGAATCTCTCTGAGCTTGACACCTCAGCATGGCTAATTTGTAAATCACACATGATCCAAAGGTCTTTTTTAATGTGTCCTTGTAAAATAATAATATAAGATATCCTACAAATTTCGTAGCAAAATCAGCCAAAAAACGAAGTGGTAAAAGTCTCACATCGACGAAATAGAGTAAAGGTCAAACTCAACATATTTTTTAAATAGTGATATACTTTAAATGAAAAAATACTGAGTGAACTAATACAATTTGGGCTTCGAAAGCCCCATATATAGCTAAAATTGATTTCTAATTAATTGTTAATTGAGTGATTAATCGCTAATTGGACTAATTATTCGTTGACTAAATCGACTAATCATTGACCAAGCCGATTAGTCGATAGTCAGATTAGTTCTTCCAATTAAAGCTAATTGGTCTGATTTTTAGAACATGGGAATCTATTAATTTTGGATTTACTTTTTTGAATTTATTTAATAATTGAAATTATTTAATTTTAGAATTAATTTAATTGAAATTATTTTTATATAGTTCATAAGAAAATGGTGGGAATATGGTACGAAAAAATTCGTAGAAAAATGGTAGGAACTGAAAAGTGGAAGGAAAGTAGTAGCAATATAATTGCCCTACGATATTTTGACCAAATTTTCTGATAAAATTATCCGACGAAATTTTCGTACCAAGAATTTCGTAGAAAATTTCTTACCATTTTCTTACATTTATGATTTCTGACGGCTTAGAACCTACAGAAATATTTCGTAGGAAATTGGTAGGAAAAACCTGTTTCCTATGATTTTCTGATGATATATATCGTAAGAATATGTTATCTTTTCTTGTAATGTTTGACCTAGTTCAATTCGTATTGTTTCATCACCAAAATCATAAAAATTAAGCTATCTATTTTACCTAGACAAATAATACTTTACTAATTAGTTGATTAACTGGTAAGTCGATATTATATTGTTCTTATTTGTCATTAGGAACTAGAAAGTGATATGTTTCCAGAAAAATATATAACTATAAAAAATAACAAATACCTAAGAACTAAGTAATATCAACGATCATGTGCAGAGTGAAATTATTATTACAAAAAGTTTAAACGTAATTTCAAATACAAAATCTATTATAATTGTTGGTGAAATTATTATCCGATATTTGAGATCCACTTGTATATGCTAAAACATGTAGTAGTTTTTATTAATGTAATGATTTTTTTTTAATTATTTTCAAATTTACAATGAGTTTCTTTTTAAATTTGAGATTACTGAAATATGAAATATTTCACAATTTTTTTTTTAATTTCACAAAAAAAATATATATTTTGATATACTCATATTTTACATCATTTTAGCATACTTTAGTTTTTGAGTCCCATGGATATGTTTTCTTAACATTCTTAGAGTTTTAGGTATTATCTTAGCATAGATAGGTTTGCATAAAGTCTAAGCGTGGCTTGCATTGTTTTGGTGTCTAAATCCGGTTCTTGAAGACATTTGGATACTTGGGGAGTTATGGAGCCAAATATCATTGAGTCTGGAGCAAAGGAAAGCGTGTAATGAAAGGCAAAAGCTTGTGGCTGAGGTGCTTTTATCATTGTTCAAACCAGTGTGATCAAATGTGATTGGAACAAAGCAAAACTAAGGAGATTCACCCACACCGTGGCCGGTACTGAGGCTCACACCGAGTGACCTCAGAAGCAAACACTGAAGTGCCAAAGATCATCTAAGACTGGTGTTCAACTCGGTTCCAAGCTCAACACCGACCACACATACATTCCAGACCGAGTGTGACACCGACCCCTACACCATGGCCAACACTGGTCTCAGTCCCTCGGTGTTCTCCATCCTTCGTGTATTCTCCCTAAGTGTCCCTACTGGTTTCAGGCTCGATATCATCGCCGAACACACACACACTTCACACTGAGGCCAGCACCAAGTACAACACCGGCCGGGAGCTTCTTCACAAAAACTGAGACACGTCACACCGAGACCAGCACCAGCTGATGTGGTCTGTCACTAGGCTGATGTTGACCACTTAAGGCCATCTTTGACCACCGGCTTTACACATCATATATAAGGTTCTAGAGCTAATTTATGTTGTATCTCTTCTTCTCTTATGTTCTTGGAGAGAAAAACTCAGTCTTTGTATAAGATATCTTCTATTTTTATGCAATTCAAGTTTTAGATTCATCTGAATCTCTGTATTCTTATCTCTTTAATAATGATTAACACCCTAATCTTTTTAGATTTCTGGTTTAGTCATAATTAATGTGTAGTCAACTTTTTAGGCTTTTGGGTGTGTAAATTAGGGTGCTTAGATGTTGATCCTTGATGTTTAGGGCTTAGATTCTTCATTTGCTTTCTTATCTAGTTCCTCCTAATGCCATATTTTCTTGAGAAAGTGAAATCTGGGTTCATAAATATTTCATCCATCAAAAGTGTTTGATAAAATGCCTGAATAAGCTAAATGACAGTTTAATGTATATTTCACATGAAAATGCTTGTTAGATCATTAAGTGATAATTAGAACTGGATTATAATGCTTGTTGATTCATCTTTTCACTAATGAGAATTAGATCTTGATAAGTTAATTAACAAGGTAATCATCATCATGAGAGTGAGTTAATTGAAATTAAGAGTTCTTAGCTAAAGGAAATGTCTTTTTGATTGCTTTAACATCATAGATTAGCATTGAATGGATCCTAGTTTTACCTTATTGAATCAATGTCTGTTTAGTTATTTTCTTGTTTGCTTTTATCAATGCTTAATCTTGTTTAGTTTATCCTCTTGCTAATTTGAATTTGGTTTATTTAGGTTGTTAGATTATCATTTAAAATCAACTTTGTTGCTTAACTCATTTAGTTTCTTGCTTTCCTAGTTCTTAAGACTTAACCCCTTATGGATTGATACCTCTTATGCTGCATAGCATCTATAGTATTGATTTCTAGATTGACAAAACAACTACTTATCAATTGGCGTTGTTTCCATTGGGGTTTAGCTTTGAACATTAGGATTTGGAGTCTTTGTGAGATTAAGGTTTATTTTCTTTTGTTTTACTAATCTCTTTCCAAGTTTTGGTGTTTTTTCTTTTGCAGTTGTATGAAGACAAGGAGTAATGGCAGTGCTCACGGAGAAAAAGGAGAGAAAGAGAAAGGGTTCAACATCTCCAGCGGTTAGGCATGGAGAATCTGAATGCTGAGAATGAAGTAGAGCAACAGGCACAAGGTGCTCAAGTGCAACAACAGAGGAACGATTTGAATGTTCAGCCTCAGGGTAATGGAGGCAATGGAAAGAGGCACCAACAAGGAGGAAATCAAGATCACTTCCCACCAGACTATGCCCGTGAATATAGACAGCCACATCATGCACCTAGAGAGCCCATTCTGGTTGGCACAGGAGATGCTGCAAACACTCATGTGAACAGACAAGGGATCCAAGCTTGTCCTATTGGTTATAACAACTTTAAAGTCAAAGCATGCTTGATCAACATGGTTCAAAACAACAAATTTCATGGACTGCATATGGAAGATCCATTGGATCATGTAGATCAGTTTGACAGACTGTGTAATCTCACCAAGATAAATGGTGTGAGTGAAGATGGGTTTCACCTCAGGTTAGTCCCCTTTTCCCTTATAGATAAAGCAAGACAGTGGGAAAAAAATCCGCCTCAAGGATCTATAGTATCATGGGACCAGTGGAAAACAGATTTCCTAGCTAAATTCTTCTCCACTTCAAGGACTGCTAAGCTAAGGAATGAAGTCTCTAGTTTTACTCAAAGGCATAATGAAAAGCTTCAGTGAAGCTTGGGAGAGATTCAGTTACACTCTTTAGTGTCCTCAACATGGTTTCAGTGAGTCATATCTGCTCAGAAAATTGTATAGAGGAGTTTTACCAAAGATTAGGAGTCAGTTTGATACAGCTTTTAATGGAAACTTCATTGCCAAAGAAGTTCATGGGTCAATGGAGCTAGTAGAAAACTTGGTTCAGAGCAATGACACTTATGGTGAGGAATATGACAGATCCTATAGAGATGAAGGCAGTCCAAAGAAGCAAAGAACCAGAAAGGATATAAAAGAGTTGAATGCTAAGCTTGATAAGGTTTTACTTGCTTCACAGAAACCAATTCACTATGTTGGTGAATTTGACCCAAGGAGCTTATGGACACTGAAGTTGTCCAAGAGGAGGTCCATTATGTTGGTAATCAAGGCAACTACAACCAGGAGTTTAACTATAGGAATTATCCTAATTTTTTTATAGAAATCCTAATGTTGCAAACCCTCAAGACCAGGTGTATCTAGCACAACATAACATCTCTTAAGATCACCACCAACAACAATACCAGTAAAAGTATCAGTACCAAAGCAACTATAAGTCTGAAGCTCCAGCAAGATTTCCTCCTGGTTTTGGAAACCCATCACAATCATTAATGTCAGGGTCCTTAGAAACAAGACATGAAAGCTATGTTACAACAACCTCTTCAGGGCCAAGCTAATGGAACAATGGATATCAGAAAAAAAGAAATGGCTGAGATTCACAATAAAGTTGATTGTCCTCACTCAGACTTCAATTCAAAGATAGAGAACGTACTCTCCCAGTTTGAGACATTAGCTTCTAAAGTGAAGACTCTAGAGAACAAAAAGAGACACTCCACTTCTCAAACTCAAGGTTCTTAATCAGGCAACTCAATTGCTAATCCAAAAGAGTATTGTAATGCTATATTCTCCAATGCTGATAATCAAATTTCTGTTCAAGAAATTAAGTTCCTGATGTAGGGATTTTTAGGATCTAAACCCATTTCTTAAATATGTTAATGTCATTGCAGTATTTAAGGTATCAATCCAAATGGGATGGTTCAATCACTAGAAATCCATAGAACTAAATAGGTTAAGCTAACCAGATGATCTTAAATGACTCTAACAACCTAATTAAATGAAAACAAAACAAACTAGAAAACATGGAATTAAGAAAATCTAAAGACTAACAACTAAACAAAGACTAAAGCAATGCAAGAAAAGTGGATCCTTAGGTGGGATCATTGACTTTGGACAATCTAGATGTGATCTATGATGTTAAAACAATCAGAAACTTGTTAAACCTTTGGTCTAGATCACTGAATAAGACTAATTCACTCTCATGACACTAATTCCTTTGTTAATTACCTAATCAAGAACAAACACTCATTTGTGAAAAGACTAATTAACAAGCATTAATTTCAAGATCTAATAACCGATTAACCTCTTAAAAATTCACTCTCATGAGCTAAGAAGGTTAATCATAAATATACAAGGATAGCAAGGTCAGAGAATCACTACTTTCTTTGGTCTACATCAGTAAAGAAAGATTAACCAACTCTCATGACCTTAATCACTTTGCTAATCATTATTATCAAGATTTGATTCTCATGAGTGAAAAAATGATAAGAAGGCATTAACAACAGATTTCAATAACCATTTAACTCATTAGACATCTATTCTCATAGGCTAAGCAAGAAAAACTCTTCATTTGGTTCTTTGGGGCATTTCATCAAACATCTTCTGATGTGAAATCTCCTATGAACTTTGATTAACTATCTCTAGTCTAATCAAGCATTAAACACATCAAATGAAGAAATAAAGAAGAAAGTAAGTCTTAAACAACATAGATCAACCCCAAAATTCCCTAATCTATCACACCCATGGATCCTAAAAAGAGATTACTCACTAAACATGCTCAAACCCAGAAAATATATGAAGATAAGGGTGATATACATATTTAATGATGATAAAAGAAGATAGATTAAAGATAAGAAGACAATAGATGCATTCAAACTACAAGAAAACTATATACAAGGTCTTGTTTCTCCAAAGGGGAAGGTTTTGAAAGAGAAAACAAGACAGATCCCAGAAATTAGGTCAGAACATATATATATATATATATATATATATATAGTGTTAAGGGTTGGACCGGCAACTCGGAATAAAACGGGTTTTGACCCAGTCAAAGGTGGTCTGAGGAGGTCAACATCAGCCATGGCTTGACCGATATCGGTGGCCGATGTTGTGAGTGTTCTTGAGCTAGGAATCAACATCAGTCTCTTCTTGTGTAATGTCGTCGCTGATGTTGTTTGGTGTTTGTCCGAGTGCAGCATCCGTATAGGGCACATCAGGCATGGCTTGGGTGATATGGTGACTTCAAGACATGGTGGAGTGAGAGCAACATCAGTCTTGATCAGGCCAATGTTGTGGCTGATGTGAAATGTTGGTTGTTCGGCTCTAATATCAGGCTGGGAGAATAAGGCCAACATTGGGGTGAGTTAGGGTAGTGTCAAGGCCGATGTTGCTTCTTTTCTGGTTCCAACATCGGCTAAAGCACATTGGCCATGACTTGGCCAATGTTCACATCTTCTTGGCCGAGAATAATCACTCCTTGTCCATTCTTCAAGACTCTCCAAGCTCTATATGTTGCTTTTGTTTTACGTTATGTTCTTCTTCTATACTACTAATTACATGTCTTTTGCCCAATATAAGTGAAAAGACTCAACAAGGAACATCAAACCAAGACTCTTGCTCATTTTGAGCAAGCCCAAACCAGTGTCACTCTTTTCTTGTACTTAACTATAAAAACACGCCTACAAGAAAGAGCTCAACTTAATGAATCAAACAAATTCCCTGAATGAGTAAGTATAACTACACCTTTGTAATTTCTTCCCTCCTTAGAAGTAGAGGCAATTTGTTATATATTATCTTTTTCTCTACTACCAATATCTGTTCCAATATAAAAATTAAACATATCTGTGTTCTCTAATGATATGATCGTGACCAGCTCAGAGGAGGAGGAACCAGAGGTAGCTGGCAGGATCACTCGTTCCAGAGCTAGAGAGATGGCTAAGGAGGCTCACACACTCATGGCCGCAGAGGACATCGATCAACTGGAGGCTGGAGATCACATCTTCAACATCTCTATCTTGAAGAATGAAGAACCCAGTAACAATGACTAGGTAACTTAGGTGATGATTCTGTACTCTTTTCCTTGGTGAGGATTTTGGAAGGCAAGGAGGTTCTTCTCCAAGGTTTTTAACGAGGCAGAAATCATTGCTACGTCAAGTTACTTAGAAGTTGTTACTAATGGGTAATTATGTGCAAAGTCACAATGACTTGTGCACTAGTGTTTTAGGCGCACCACTTAGGTTTAGAAGGGACGCCTCGCTGTTTTATTTTTAAATTAAACTTCGTGTTGTTTTTTTATTTCAAAAAGCCATGTAGTTTGTTATTAGGGCTGCGATTTTCTCTCTTAGTCTATTAAAAAAGAGAAAATCGCCTAAGTCATATTCAGTGAAGAATTTTGATCAAACTTTTAACGTGTTCTTCTCTCTTTGATTTCTGAGAACTAAAAACTCTGAAATTCGAATCTCTTAAAAACTTATCTGTTTACAAGAGATTCTTCTATCCCTCCATTCCATCGATTCAATCATCATACTACCACCACCATTCCATCGAGTCTACCTCTTCCACCATACCATCGACTTGAGAAACCAAACCATCATCTCCCTTCATTGATCCGCCGCACCATCACACATCCACGACTCGATCCGCCGAGTCTCCATCATCTTCATCGAGCCATTATCGTGTCACCACCACCACCATATCGCCTCATCGATACAGTCTGGCCATTATATCGCTGCCTCTATTGCCTTGTTCTTCAGAGTTGATCACCTAGGATCGTATCACGTGGTATCAGAGCCAACTCTGAACCAAAGGCTGAGCGAAACTCTAACCCTAATCTCTTTTGAATTTTCGTATCTGTGTTATTAGGGTTTAGCGAGTTCTGTGCATCGATCTGTTTCCCTTGTTTCGTATCGTTCGTGCTTGTTATTTGTTTTGGATCGATCGCTGTTAGGGTTCCTGCTGTTAGATCAGTTTGATATTTATAATCGAGTTCTGATAAATCGTTGTTATATATTGTTTTCTAGTTTGAGATTTCGAGTCTGTTCAATCCATTGTTGTCGTGATCGTTTAGGTTTATCAAGAGCCTCGTGTCCTCGATTAGTTTGTTAAGAGTCTGCGTGATTTCGTTAGGTTTGATAGGGTTTCGTGATCTCGTAACTAGTTTGTTAGTGTGTTAGGGATTCGTTAGTCTTCGATTTTTTTTTTTTAAGGCTTCGTTGTTCATTGTTTTTTTTTCGTGCAGGCTTGTTAGGAAATCTTTTTTGTGATTTCGTTAAGTTTGAACTAAAAAAAAAATTCGTCAAAGTTCTTTAATTTCGTTAAGTTTTTTTTTAGATTTCGTGGGGTTCGTTTAATTTTTTTTTTTATGTTGAGTTTTATTTTGATCATGCTGCTGTTTTTGTGATTTCGTTTAGAACAAGTTACTGCGAGTTCTTTTAATTTTTTTTTTAGGTACCATGGAGCTTTCGGCTGAGGCGATGGAAGCTCTGAACCGAGCAATGTCTCAACAAATTAAGGAAGCGAATCAAGCCATAGCAACCCAGCTCACACAACAAATCGAACAACTCAATGACAAGTTCGAGACAAAGATGAATGATCTGCTCAAAGACCTCAGTGCAAGTGAAGAAGAGTCGTCTCAAACTCCAACTCCGTCGGAAGCAATGCGTCTAGCTAAGGGTAAAGGGCACATAGGATCTTCTCGGAAACTCCCACGCCACCCAACACCTTCCGAAGCCAGGACTAAAGCTAAGTCCAGCCGAAGCCAAATTGGGGGCAGAGAGACTACGTTTTATCCGAGGAGGAATCCTACTGGTGCAGATCGAGATGGCCCAAGGGTAGATCGTCAGCACCGCAGAGAGGAATTATTGCTGGGCATCAAGTTACCCTGGAATCAGACCCAGAATACTATGAGGAGGACGAAGCTT